TCCGGCCAAAGAAATGCTACTAAACCACGAGAATACAAAGCTGGTATTGTGAATTTGCGGCAGTACATACCGCCGTATACGACAAGCCGGCACACGCTGGCTTTTTGCCGCGAATATATGAATCGGCACTGTATACGTACGTACGTATACGTACTGAGTTCTTGAGTCGTGGAGCTTCGGTAGCCTCCAGAGTTACCACCGGCTCTAACTACTAGAGCCAGGCCAGAGACTCGGAGGACGCGATCTTTTTTTTTCTTTCTTTTTTTTTTAAAACTAGGCGAAAATCAATTCGCGCGCGGCTGTCATCTATAAAATTAAGTCTGTGTGGCCTACATGTAATAAGTGATGTGTAGTGATCTAGTTTTCGGATCACTGAACCAGCCAGGAACTCGAATCCCGGTCTGTCCTTCTGAATCTCTGGTCGGAGGACAGCTACACCTTAAAGACACCACCACACTTCTGGAAGACAGTGCTTCGTACACTTTGGCCTTCGATGGAGAAAACCTACCAGTTTGGAACTCACAACGCAACTCGTACACTCAGTTTCTATGCACAGAATTGGTTTTGCGCGCTTCATGCATATCCATACTGCACTGTGAGCTACCTGCAGTTTTCAGGGACACGTGTGTGTGACTGTGACTAGATGTGAATCTGCAGCGAAAAGGGAATAGAAAACACTTTTTTATGCCGCCACCAACACAGAGTACAAATACAAGACAGGACAATACTCATTTTCACCTGAGCGAAGTGAGGAAATTCGTGTAAAGTGCCTTTCCCAAAGGCACAAGATCAGTGGTATGTCAGGACTCGAACTCGGGACCTCTTGGTTCCGAGTCGAGCACTCTTCCGCTACGCTACAACAGCTGGGATTCGAACTCACAACATCTTGGCCCAAATCACTGGACAACGCACGCTAATACTCAAGACCTGCTGCTTTACTTTAGTGTACAATTTGTGAAGGGATTTCGGGATTAGTCTTGTTATGCCGAAGCTCTGATATGTCACAGCTCATGGTCTAAGTTACTTCACAACGTTTATTACGTTTTTATCCACATATAAACTGTTTTCCTCATGCTTCAAATCAGCGTTATATAAAAAAACAAAAACAAGACAACATCTACAATCACAGAACTGTTGGAAGTGTGTGGATGGTTAAAACGTTTTATTTTGCCAACACTAGAGAAGTAACATTTGCAAAGCAAATGCATAATGTTTACCTTCGGACATGGTCTGCTCTGATATAATTCATACATATTACTCAAACACATTCACATACATGTACTACTAGTATATGGTGACAGGAGCAGAGCAGACCATGAAATTGCAACATTATGTAACCCAACACCAGTCACCATGGTGACAAACGTCAACAAATCATGTCATTTGTCAGGTCAGAGGTCAGCGTTTGGAGAAGAAGAAGAGGAAGAAACTGAGCAAAAACAATATGTTTTCCTTCGGTAAACATAATAACCTGCTTTCGGATGACTTCTCCGATTGAACGTTTTTATGAAGCCACCTCCTTTCTGATGACTTCTCTGATTGAAAATAACATCTGGAGTCGGCCTCCATTCAACTGGTACCTCTCGTATGTAGTATTGAATATTTTGTGGCGCACTTTTGGAATGTAATCGAGTCTCTTACAACGTTTGGAATATCCAGAGAAATTCTCTACTCGATTGTTACACTATATCAAAGACTTACTGGCCTTCATTGTTTTTGTAATTAGGATGTTTCATTCTATACGTATTTTTTGTACTATGTTTAATATTTGTTGCCATACATTGTACCGATTGTGGAATAAAGTTCTTCTTCAGAATCTGTAACTGCATGGTTAGAAGACAATGACTGATATTGTGTCGACGTGCTGCATTTCCTAAGTGTTGAGGGTGCTGGTGAAAGCATGGAGTAGTCATTAAATTGCTATTACCTCCCACTCACTATACATACGTTGGCGTCCATTTGCCAACAGTATAAAAATGGTATTTTCATTTTGAAACTTAGGCCACAACGACTTAATTTTACGGATGACATCCGCGTGCGCATTGATTTTCGTCTGTTCTCAAAAGAAAAAAAAAGATCACGTCCTCCGAGGCTTTAGCCTGGCTCTAGGCCTGGGTAGTCCATGGTAGTTAGTGACAATATGGAGGTGGTAACTCTGGAGGACGGCACCCAGGCTACCGAAGCTTTACGACTCAAGACCTCAGTACATACGTACAGTGCCGATTCATAAATTCCGCAAAAAGCCAGCCAGTGCCGGCTTGTCGTATACGTCGCTATGTACTGCCGCAAATTCACAATACCAGCTTTGTATTCCTGTGGTTAAGTAGCATTTCTATTTTTGGCCGAATTTTTTTTTCGCCCGCGCGCACTAGTTTGGGGGGTTTTCAGAGGATGTCATCCGTAAAATTAAGACGGTGTTGCCTTAACGCTACAAATCGCCCAACTGAGTCAACTCTTGCTCCAGACACCTGGTATACTGCAACTATTTGTTCTGTAGTTAATGTTTAACCCAGTGTCGACCCTTGCACGGTGGCTCACGTATGTAACATCAAGCGTCCAAACTCAACGCCCTCGTCTAGCCAAAACACGGGTTACTTTTCACCATGGACGATCCAGCCTTTCCCAGTACAGTGGACACACAGACAGGGGCGCAGACAACAACACTGACAACACCAGAGCGGTCAGGGATAGGCCTAAACATCAACTACGTTACGAGCATACCGGGGATACTGAAAGTAGTGGAACTGGTATGTATATTTGTACACATGTAGGTCTGGACTATAGCCTAGGCGTCCATTTTTGATCATTCATGAAAACCTACTGAGTTTTTGCTCGTTCTCGACAGGCTTAAAAAGTTATATTTCCTTTCTTATTCTGTTTTTCGGATGTCCCAATGTCTTACATGTATACATTATTCAGTAGGACGAATCTGTGTGTTCCTTGTGTCACTTATACAGGGTCAAAGTCAATATTCACTTAAGAGTACGATGCGCCCCCCCCCCACCTTTGATAGGTATAGCCAGCTGCCACATTGCATTGAATTGCTTCTAAGCATAAGAGCCTTTATTTTATGTACATTACACATTAGAAAATATCAGTAAAAATTTTCGACTACAAATCCATGGCAATAGTACATGTAGCCTAGGTGTAACGTTTTGCTATTAATTGTAACACCGCTTTTCGAAATTGCATATTAGGCCATAGTAAGTAAATTTTATGGATGACATCCTCCGCAGACTCCAAATCTAATGCGAGCGGGCGAAAAAAAACAAGGCGGGCCGAAAAAACAAGGTTCCTACATTTTAGAATTTTGACTCAATCATTGTACAAATTGTTTTTACTCAGTGGGAACATCACGTATACACAGCCAGCATCACATATCGCAGCATCAAGTAAAAAACAAAACATTAAATCAGAGCCTTTTGTTGTCTACTCTCTTCATAGTTATCTGCCATCCACCTTCCGGCATGGCAACAGACATCTTTGCCCATTTTCGGCATGTTGACCACTGTCAGAGGGCAACAAAATTTCTTTTTTATTTCCAAATTCAGGCGAAAATTACTGCGCGCGCCGATGTCATCCATAAAAATTACTTGGTGTATTCTTACATAAATCTATTGCTTTAAGGTCCGATCTTGACTTGAGTTCAGTGTTTACATTTTTCTGTTAGCTGTTCGGCTTGATCGTCTGGGCATGCGTGGCCTCTTACACTTATGCCGGAGGACAGCACTGGGTGATGTTTGTGGCTGTGACGTCATGGCTGTTCACACTGCTGTATTTCATCTTCTGTCTGCTATCCCTCCGCGAGTCCATGCCGGTTATATCCGGTTTCAACTGGAACCTCATAGTAAGTGAGAACTATGTTCTCATTTTGTTATGTTTACCTTCGCATAAGGAAAACTGTGTTTTTGCTCAGTTTCGTCTTCTTCCGTAAATCCAAAGTAAAGTCAATGACCTTAACCAGACGTCTGTCACCATGGTAACTTGTGCTGTAGCAACACCATGTGGTGTTGGGTTACATTATGTAGCAGAACAGAGTTGGAGAGGCTGCTCACCATTGTCTTTGAGTAAGAATAAACAGTACATTAGTTTGTTGGGCTGTCTGGTTTCGCAAATTTGAATTGCATCTGATATATCTGACAAAAAAAGAACCAAGAAAAAAATCATCATCATGGAAAGCTCCCAGCATTGAGGTATACAATCCAAAAAAATACGTAATGACTAATGAAGAAAACAAACCGTTGAACAAGATGAATACTTTGCAACAGCCATAATTATAACCAGAAGACACGTAATATTTACGGATTCGTAAAGGAAGCGTTAAGATATTAAATATATTTACACTGAAAGGTGACGGAAAGGAGGAATTTGCCTTTCAGTGTCCTTTAAAAAGTCGTAAAGTCTACTGAAATATTTTTTTCACCTTTAATACTTCTTTACATATTACGGAAAGTTTGCTTAAATGTCTGTTCTCGTGCTGTAATATGTGTCATGTGTGAAGCAGTAAGATCTGAGTAAAACCACTCTAATACTTAGTGTTGTGCCTCCCCGCTATAGGAGACAGTGTACTCTGTTGTGGTGACCTTTCTGTACTTCATAGCGGCCTGTGTCCAGGCAGGCACCACGGGAGTCGGCGGGAACAGTTTGGTCAGGGGACACTACTCCACATACGCGGCAGCGGCGGTAAGTTACGAGTACATTAAGACCCAAAACATTTTTCAGAAAGGCTGACATAGAAATGCTTATAAGAAAAATGCACTTAGGAATTGAAAAATTATTGTAGAGAAAAGAGAAAGTTTTGATTTAAAGAATATCGATTGAAAGTTTGTGCTTTTTAAAGAGTGTGGAATGGAAGAAAAATGTTTCTTTTCATAGGCAGTATATGTTAAGAGATTAAAATAAAGTGGGAAACAATTTATCATGTTTATTTGCCTTTCGCAAAAGGAAAACATATTGTTTTTGCTCAGTTTCATCATGTTCTCCTTAACGAATGAAGTCAATGGCCTGGACTAGACGTCTGTCACCATGGCAACTAGTACTGCAGCAGTGTTGGGTTATATTTTGTAGCAGGACAGAGTTGGAGGGGCTGCTCAACATGTAAATGAATAAAGAGTGCAGTATTTTGTTGGGATAGACCATGTGAAGGTAAACACATGCATTTGTTTTGCAAATGTTACGATTTTTAGATTCTTTTAACAGAATTTGGGCTTTCTCTCCTGTTTCTTCGCTAGGCATTCGCCTTCCTGGTGACCATCGCGTACGGTGTTGACGCCTTCTTCGCGTTCCAGTCGTGGCGTGGAGCCGGTGGACAGCTCCCCTCATTCTCCTTCTCATCACCCAGCCCCCAGTCTACACCTGCCACCAAGGCGGAGGAGGCACAGGGGTAGAACATAGGCGTCCTACTAGCCTCTACCAGGCTTCGGGAGGCGACTGGAAAGAGTAGAAATTGGCCAAATAGAGAGATGACATGCCAAAGACGTTCCTCCTCTGAAATCTCTAGCGGACCAACTCCGAGGGACAGTGGTAGATCATATGCTACCCCCCTTACCCCCTTGGTTTACATAGCGACTTTCTTTTTTTTTTATTTGCAAATTCAACAAGGACAATACAAGACAAGGTGGTGAGGTACTCTAGCTATAGCTAATGTTAGCCTCAACACCAAACATAGAATACAATTACAATACATAACAAAAAACAGAGAACAGCAAGTGGGTGGGATGGGTCGTTAAATAGTACAAAGAAATGTTTAGTAGGCTATATAATAAATCAATCGAGTACAAACCGTTTGGTGTCAACAATATAAGTTTGAGTGGTTAGCAAGATATTACAGTTTGTATCATAGTATAAATCAGGTAATCCTCTAAGTAAAATATCACATAACAATTGTTCAGACATATTGAAAACATCAAAATCAAAGCCTACCACATTCTGGAGATTGCTGAGTAGGGTGACTCTTTGTTGATTATATAAAGGGCAGTGTAAAAGAAAATGCATGACACTCTCACAACGAGACCCGCAGATACAAGCAGCACTAGGGGCTAAATTTCTTAAGAATGAGCTGTGGTTAAGACTACAGGTCCCGATGCGGAGACGCGTGAGTAATGCGCAGGTGTACCTGGGGCCGATGCTAAAATGTCGGTAAAAAGGGGAACGTACTGACTTTACTAAGTACTTCTTATACAATGAAAGATTCAGAGCGACTTTCGCGAGCCCTTTTTTTTTCAAATATCTTGTGTTGTAGGAGAGCTAGCTATGAGTGTTTAAGTGTTACCTCTGATCCTACAATAAGAAAGGTATTAGTTGTAAAATAAAATATCTTGTGATGTTGTAGAGCTATGGGTGTTTGAAACGTTAACCCTGAACCTATCCCTAGCCATGAAATAATTGTAGTTGTAAACTGTAAACCGTTTTCAAATTTCGGTATAAGACGTCAAACGAAATTAGGCGTTATTTTTGGTGTCATTATAATACATACACATGTACTAGGTTCCTGGGAAATTAAAATAAAAGATGGAATCAAATAGAGACTGGCCTAACACACCTCTGTCTGAGTCTGAACGCCATCTACACCGAAATGAACTCACCTTTCCTTGGTGCTGAACACCATCCACCCATAGAACAAAACACGCCCGACTCTGTAACTGAACGCCATTCCCACACACCAGTTAAACACATCTAGATCTGTCCTTGGTGCTGAACGCCTTCCACACACAGAACATACACACCCGGGCCCGTGTCTGCAACCGAACTACTCTCGAAGCAAAGGTGTGGGCTCCAATGTTGGCGTAAAAAAGATACCAGTGCAAAAAAAAGAAAGCCCGATTAAAAAAGCCCCCAAACACGCCAAAAATAAGCCAAAACCCAAACCTCTACTTTGAGAGTAAACTGAACGCCATCAACATACAGGTAAGCACATCTGTCCTTGGTGCTGAACGCCTTCCACACATAGAACAAACACACTCGTCTCAGCAACTGAACGCCATCCACACACAGCTAAACACATGTAGATCTGTCCTTGGTGCTGAACATTATGCACAAACAGAACAAGTACCCCCGTGCCCGTGTCTGCAACTTAAGTAACTAAGTACTCTCCAAGCATAGGTTTGGATTTCAGGATTGGCGTAAAAAAAGTACCAGTGCAAAAAAAAAAATTCCGATTAAAAAGCCTTGAAACACGCTAAAAAATAAGCCAAAATAAACTGAACGCCATCCAAATCCGTAAACAGGCCTGTCCTTGGTGCTGAATGCCTTCCACGCACACACACATGCGCATACCTACGCGTAGTATTGAACGGTATACAATTCGCCAACTAAACAAATAGTTTAATCAATAGACGCCACATAGTTACTTCACTTATGGCTTATGAACATGCATGTACCCTACTTCATGCTTTTCAAATTGACCTCAACGGTTTAGCCTGTCACTGCTGAAGTGCTACATCGAAGGGCAGCTGAAAAGATACAGATACAGGAAGCTGCTCAGTTATTATCAGTTTTTTTTTCTCTCTCTCTTCTGCAATGCTTGCTATCCTATCTGAAGCCGTTAGTATCTCATTGCAATGTGATGCATACACATGATATACCTTATATGTCAGGGTACTAGTATATAGAGACTGCGATCAGACAAATCGCACATTCTATACCCGTATATAGAGACCCCGATAGGAGTCGAATTCGTTCCCAAAACGTTAACAGAACAACTTAATTTACTAGTTAACGTTGTCAGCCTTTCAGAATTTATCGTTAGATGTTCTAGGCCTTCATAAATTTGCCGTTAAGCGTTGCCAGGATGCCCCCATGTTGACCCTCACGTATGCACCGGCTTGGAGGAGGCGTGGCTATTCTAATTGAGGCAGAATGACACTCCTGACCTGGTTTCGCGTCGTTAAGAGGCCTGCAAGCCATTTTTCGTAAGGCGTAATCAGGCCTTTTTAGTCGTCGTAATAAGTAGCCAGCCTCCCAAAAAAATCAACGTAATTAGTACGTAACACATGATAAAGCTTCTTACGGACCTTGTTGTTTAACCGGTTTTTCTAGTTACTTGTATATAAGAGTGAATCGGTTCTCTGTTCATTTGTGACGCTGAAGAAGAGTGATGGATGTCACTCGAAACGTCCGGAAATAAATCCGTTAACAGATCCAGTAGTAGAGTTTGAATTTTCTTACGAGTAACGTAATTAGTACATTAGCCGGAAATCGTAAAGCCGTAATCAGGTCTGAGACTTAAAGTAATTCGTAATCGGTGGCGAAAATTTTGCGTAATCACTACCAAATGCCGGCCCTCTTAAGAGGTGACACCTGGTCGGGAGAAGTCCGCGTGCATTAACTAAACACCTGGACGTTATCACGTGTCTAGGGAAACCTTTATAAAGCCGTGAGAGCGTGTTTTCCTTCATTTCGACCTACGCCATGGAATCCTACGCCGGAGACTTTGGTAAGTGCGGGATAGAGAGCGAAAGATATTAAGAGGAGGCAGACGGGGGGTGGGGGGATGAGTGTCGTAGGAAAGATGTTTCTAACAATCAGGAGGAATAATCTATAATTTGTCAGTCATAAAGATTAACATCATTTGGCGAAGGTATGAGATTGGGGAACTCTTGTTCATTGTTATTTTGCCAGCCTTCATAAATTTGCCAGGATCTCCCCACGTTGACCCTCACATGTAACGTTACATATGCCATGGCGCCAGCTTGGAGGCGTGGCCGTTGAAAATCAATGCATGCATCTGAACTACATGGAATATTCCAAAATGTGTCAATCAGAAATAGGTCACCAAATAATGACAGCTTAATACCCCAAATAATTAGATAGGTAAATTTGGCCTCACATGTTTTGAAAAGCACTGTTATGAATATTTTGTTCCCAAAGAAATGAATAAGTGATGTTATTTGAAACGGAATTTTTTGGTATCCTCCGAATTTTGAGTTGGAATAATCCAAAATGGCTGCCACGCTAGCAAAAGTGCCGGCATGTGTTCTGAAATCGGGAATTTTAGCTTCACTGAGGTTCAATTCCGTGGCAAAATGCTCGAGTCAGAGGGCGTACAGCATGGCGACCTTGCCTTTTCTCTGCTCCGTATTTCGGGAGAAGTCTTCCATAAGGCAACGACCGCTAGATCTTCTTGTCCGAGCCCGGACCGCCCTAGGTAAGAATACCGAGTACTTGACACCCGTAAACACAGAAATGTGACAGTTACAACTTTTCTCGTTCATAAATCACTTTCGGCCTGTCTCTTCCGACACTTTCGAGTTAATCATTGTTAGAAAGACTCTGGCGCGGTTTTTTGAACGAAACACGAGGAAACTATCCTCATGTGCTGGGTCCAAGGTCGTAAAATTATAGGTTAAAATCATAATTGGCAAAGCTAATTTCAGACACACCCCTCACCATCTGTCTTAATTCTTTAACGCTCTAATCTCAATTATCAAATTCAGATTTACTTTGAAATTCATGCAAAAAATTCACTGTAACGGGCTTGTGTTCTGAATATTTTGCTTCTAGCTTTTTTGTAGCAGACTGGCCCAAATATAAAGCGGCCGCTTGTAACAAGATACGATCTGTAAACGAGATACGGTTTCTATTGTCCGTATAGAGCTCTACTGTAATTAACACGGGGGGACCTTCATTCGCTTTTTTGGCGTGTCTCTGTGTATGTCTGTCCCCATATGTATTCTGTATTTCTGCAATTCCCAATGGAGAATTGCCATAGCATTGAAAAATCCTGCCATTTTTTTTTGGTGTGGGTCTGCCACCCCCCTGGCAAGGTAATAACCGTTACATGTATAATTATCAATAAAACAAAACCTATATATGTGTGTATGTATAGTAATTATAGATCTTACTGCTCCTCTTCTAAGAGGACAACAACATTTCAAACAAGTACAAAGTACAAGTATAAAGATTTCATTATTTTTCTGACACTTAGATACTAAGAAAATCCTTTTATAATACTATTATACAATATGAACAAAAATACCTACAAAAATTTTGATTGACGAAAAAAATTGGTGCACAGCTCCAAATTTGGGTGCACGCACCCAGTATTTTGAGCCCTGATTGTATGTTGGGTAGGGTTGGGCAAGGACGCTTCAACCTTCTTTGCTTGGGCTGGTCTTTTTTCAACTTCTGATAAATGATTTAATTTCGATTGAAAAATTCAGGAATCTTCTTTTTTTTTTTCTCACACTTTTTAGTAGCGTCAAATGGCTACGTAGGCTAGTGCGGACACGAGATTGACAGGTAGTTGGTTTGATCCCTGGTATTCACAGCTAGGGCCACACCAATTTAATTTGTTGTTTCTCAGATATTGTCAGGACAATATGAAGCAACAGGGCGAAAAAAAACAACAGGCCAAGGCACCCTATGAAGGCCAGAAATGTTATGATATGAGCCATGAAGTCAACATACCAGGCTGGTTTATAATTAAAACAATAGATTTTGAACTTTTATTGAAACGAAGTTGCATTGTTACATTGAAAAACTTTTAACCACTAGGAAGAAAAGGACTTTCTTCAACCATTGGGGTAAAAATATGTCTTTCATTGAGCACTTTGCAGTTGATTCAGAACCTAAAATCTTTCCTTTTTTTGTAAAATCAGAAAAAAATGGACTGCGCAAATCCAAGAAACAACAAATTAAATTGGTGATTGGTGTGGCCTAGACGATGCGTGATGTGTACTTGTGAAATTTGTACCTGAGTGGTTGGGAAGACAAAGGCAAAAGTTGGAAGGAGAGGGATGGGCTCCACCTTCCAATACTGTGCCAAAGACACAATGGAATTAACAACCCACTGACCCTAATCTCCAAGCAGATCCCTTTCAGTGGCAAAAAGACAGTATCAAATTGGCCAGGCAGTATCCATTAGCCAGAGGTTGCAAGCCACCGACGCAACACAAAAAAAATTAAAAAATGGCCATATATAAAAAGGCAACGGCTTCAAAAAAAAGGCTATCAGACTACGTTTTTTGTTCGCACCTCAGTTTTGGAGTGTCCAGCGGATGTCATCCCTAAAAAGTATAAAACCAAGTCAGTGTGACACAATTTACCCAACTTAAGATTGAGCAGTAAGAACATAATTGCATTCTCTTCTTCCAGCTGACCTATTAGTACAGTATTAGGCCTGGGAGAAAGGAGATTTCAATAGATATGAAACCTTCTTTGTCAGTGCAAACCTTGTTAGACGAGAATGACATTCCTAATTTGGGGTAGAGGCTAATTATCATCAGTCTAAAGCCATAGCCTGTCCAGAATCCAAATATTCTAGCTTCAGTTTGCTCTTTTGATCCTTGCTGTGTGTTTAACGTTTCGCCAATTCGTCTGTGGTAAGTTTGGTACTGAATATTTCTCAAGCATCTAGCTTAATCTAGCTAGATGCTTGAGAAATATAGGATTTTGACAAGTGGAAGTAGGCTAGTTCAAATCCTGGCATTCTTGCCAAGACGTTCTGTCCTTGGGGAAGGCACAGTGTCTGTTAAACTTCCCTCACTCCACCCAGGTGTAAGGGACTTCTTTTGTGGTAAAAATGCAGCTTGAAAAAGGCTATGGGACTACCTTTACTTTTTATCTTTATTTATTTCTCAAGCAACATGATGTGGATCTAACTTTTAAATGTTGGATTGATTGATAAGTTGGTTGCCAAAAAGCATTTACTGAGTACTCAAGCAACTGGATATGATTTTGGAAACTTTATTTGCATATCAATCAATAGTTTGTGCTTATAAACCTGCATTTCCCCTCTGGTCTCTCAGTCACTGACGAAATCTAGTGGATACTAGCTGAAACGTCTGACGGTTTCCAAAATCATATCCAGTTGCTTGAGTAACTGCTTTTTGGCATATCGTATTACCTGGATGTCTAACCTTCACCAACGATAAGTTGGTTAATAATTGATTGTTTGATGTATTGTTTTTATTGATTGATTGATTGATTGATTGACATGTAGGAAACTGGAAGATGGACATGCGCCAACAGTCTAACTATGCGTACCGAGGTGCTGTCTCTACCAAAAATGCCTTAGACGAGCAGAAACATGACAGTGAAGAGGAGACAAGCCAGGAGGTAAGACTCAAGATACTGAGTATTTCTTACTGAATCTTAGAATCATACTGTGGTGTTTTGTCCATTTGCAAGTTTTCCACTAACAATACATGATACTTTATTACTGGCTTACTATTAGTTAGTATACCGTTTTAGATAATGTACAAATGACCAACACAACTCAGAAGGGTACTAGTAAACTACATACTAGTACAAGTATAGCCTCGCTGGTATCCAGTCTAACGTGGTTATATTGAGAATATACATAATCATGGTTATACATATATGGACTGTATATATGAAAATATATGGACTGTACAGAATACAACAATCAAAAAGCACAAATACCTGGCCCAGTGCAGGTAGACATTAGAAATACCTGTGCACAGCTCTAATTTTACCTGTACTAACATGCATGTCCCAGTGGTATTATCAGCCCTGAAGGCACATATCAGTACAAAGAGAGGATTTCTGTTCATTGTGGCGTCGTGTGGTGTAGTGGTACATCACTGGACTATGAAACGGGGAGACCCGGGTTCGATTCTGGGTCGTACCCGAACAAGTCCGAACATGCGCCCCGACGTTGTACCCTTGGGAAAGGTAATTTACACGACTTTCCTCACTTCACTCAGGTGTAAATGAGTACCTAGCTTCGGCTAGGGACGTCCATCGGATAGGACGATAAATGGAGGTCCCGTGTTTGGGAGAGCCACACCCACGCACGTTAAAGAACCCACCGCACTTATCGAAAAGAGTAGGGGACCTTCCCGGTGTGAGTGGTTCAAACCTTACAGTCTTGTCTCGGGGTTGACATCTTGAAAAGGTGATAGTCACCTGTTATGTCAATCCTTCCACAAATGTGGCAAATCTTCATAAATAAATTGTGTACTTATCCATGAACATTAATATGGTGTTTGTTAATTTTAGACACTCAGGCATGACATTAATGACAATGACATGGTGTCAGTTGTCCCCAGAGCTGATATTAAGGGGAAATGTGTCATCGCCAATACCAACATCAAGGTCAGTTATGATGGGATATTCTAATCATAATCTGAGCATGCTTAATAAATTCTTATCATTATGTTTACCGAAGGAAAACATATTGTTTTTACTCAATTTCCTCTTCTTCTTCTCCAAACACTAACCTCTGACCTGGCCAATGACATGATTTGTTGACATCTGTCACCATGGTGTCTGGCGTTGAGTTACATAATGTTGCAATTTCATGGTCTGCTCTGCTCCTGTCACCACATACTAGTAGTACATGTATGTGAATGTGTTTGAGCATTAGAATTAACAGAGCAGACCATGTCTGAAGGTAAACATTATGCGTTTGCTTTGCAAATGTTACTTCTCTAGTTATAAAAATTGCTATTTGTAGTCAACTACATATTCAAGAAAGTAATGTTAGCTATGTTAAAAGAATGTCAAGGTTTTTTATGATGTTAAGGGGCAAAAATGTTTCCAAACTCATCGAAACTAATGTTGATTTGTTAAAAAATGTTTGTTGAATTCCATATCCCAAGTCTGCTTAACTTTTTAAAGATCTATAGATATGCTATATGATATTTTAGGTACAAAATGTAAATGAAGTCATTTTTGTCTTGAAGCTCATTAAATATGCAATTTTCTGCCATTTTTCTGCTTACAGGCCGGCACCCACCTTTTTACCTTATATGGAGACAAGCAGAGACAACCCACCCTCTATACCATTCAGGTGGCAAGCCACGCCCACATCCACCCTGAGGGAAAACTCATTTTTGTCAACCACTCCTGCAGGTAGGGGGAGGGGTGTCTTTGGGGAAAGTTCACTGTTCATTGTAGGGATTGTGGAGCAACGCTCTAATCTTGTCTTCGACACAAAACAACAATAAGCACATGAAAATTTATTTCCCCATTCCAAACATAAAATGTTGTCCTATGCTTCTTTGACTGCCATTCTTTCAAATCATTGGTTGATATTAATGTATTCCATTCATTTCTAAGCCTTTCATAATTTGCATCATCTACGCCCCCTCTAAATCAAATTGGAATCTCCCAGCGTTTGATTGGCTACTTGTAGTAATTCTATTGATTTTCATTGGTCAATCCCTGCAGCCCTAACACCCAGTTCCAGTTCAGCCCCTCCTGGGACCTGTATGCAGCCAGGGACATTCTTCCAGGAGAGGAGGTATTAATAATCATTGTCATTGTCATTATATTAACTTTGTCTGCTTTTGACATCATGGAAAGTAAAACACAGCAAATGTTTCAGTAGTCCGCTGCAACTGCCTGTTTCATGTACCTGTATATTCTTGCCAAATATTATATTTAGTCTAAAACGTTCAATTTGTGTTTTTTCTTATTATTTGAAGGAAACTTTTCACTCTATAGGAACTAATTTTTCTGTAGAATATGATGTGCTTCAGTAACATGTTATATAATCAAAGATACTAAGATATTCTCCCAGTACAAGAGTTAGTCCTTAAGCTTGGAATAACAAAACGCTGATATAAATTTTCAACTGTTTTTTTTCTTCCACAGTTAACTTTTGACTACACCACAACAGAGTGGCAAATGGCACAGCCCTTCCAGTGCAGCTGCTGCAGTACCAAGTGTATTCACAAGGTGGTGCCACTATTCAGAAATTCACTGTGTACATTTGTATGGGTTATCTGGTCTTATCCACACCAGCTTTACTGATAGAGAAGTTGATCAAACAAAAATGACTATTAACTACTCTCACACTCTCTGTCATTGGACACAACAATAATGACATTTTTATGGCTGTATTATGCAATTTAAAACAGTTTTTCCTGTCTTGTTTTCCATAGAAAGTAAATTTCTTCTTCTCTTGATATAAAAAAAATGTCTCCCAAATCTAACCACTCAAATCCTTTTAGTATCTAAGGTGGGGTCGATAAGGAGGAATTTACATGACTGTATGATCAGCCTAAAGTTATAAATTAAAGTTTTGGGGTCACAATGATCATCATTTTAATACTTTTTATACACTACATGCGGTCTATGATACTTATTTTGCTATTTTGTGCCTTGTACAGGTCCAAGGATTTTACTTCCTGAATGCTGACCAAAAAGCTGAGAGAGATGGAGTCCTCTCACCTGTTATCAAGAAACAACTGAAGGAACAGACAGCATCAGAATGATACATTCCCATGGCATTGCTGTAGGTTCTCTGGACACCAGAGTGCACTTCTGAACTTTGGAAAGATGAATTTGAAGTTCGTATTAGGCCTAGAAAAAAAATTGTTGTGTTTCCTGTTTCCCGAGTGACCCTAGAAAAACCTGTGGACCCTAGACTTTTTTGGGGGGTGGACCCCTGCAAGGGACAGTCAAATTAGTTGTCCAACACCCTGATTGGCTGACAGTTAAAAGATATAGCTATTACTGATTGGCTAGCATAGCCTCTCCTTGGTGCTGATTGGCTATCACGAATTGCAATGTGTTCTGACTGATGATTGGCTATTACCACTCACAAGAGTTAGTTGCTCAAGGCCCTAATTGGATGCCAAAAAAGGCCTGATAACTGATTGGCTAGCATAGTCAATCCTTGGTGCTGATTGGCTATCACCAAAATTAGTCACAATGTATTGACCTCTCTACCTCGAAATTTGACACCGCCGCACAACCACAACCACAACCGCACAGCCCTACACAAAACGGATTGAGCTAACACTTGCTCGCAAAAGTCATGAATATTTGAGCTGATCAACCATTTCTGAGCTCCTGATGATCTGACATCTGAGTGCCGAAACATAATGTACAGTACAATCGATGTTCAAACATTGACATTAAAAAGGGTCCTTATGCTAGTTTTACTTTGTTAAACCATCATATTTAGTGTTTATGTTTTAGTTGGATCACTAGAGATCGCTAAAGTGATAGATCGCCAGAGTCTAATAAGAAAAAAGAAAGATAATCCTTACCTAGGGACCCTAATTTTTTCAGGACCGAAACAGGAAACAAAACATTTTTTTCTAGGCCTTACATTTAAGTCTACTACATGTATCTCTTTAATTTTGAGGGCTAAGACAAGCATTAAATGCATACATTGAAATTACAATTATTTGGATGCCTTTGAGGTGCAAAAAAAGTATAAGGTGAAATTATTGGGGTGAATATTGAAATATTCAAATTATACGGCAAAATGGTGGTGTTAGCGGCAAACGTAAAGTTACTGCAAGATCTTGATTTCACCGTAAAATTTATGTGCTGCAAACTTCACAGTAATTTTCTGTGACCACTAAACATTACACTGCGATTCAAGTGTTTTTTTTTCCATTTCCTTTCAATGCATATCCCCAAATTACATTCCCCATACATAAATATGTCATTATTAAAAGATATAAGGGTGTTATAAGGGAGATATAAGTCTACATCTAAGGTACCAAACCTCTTTATATTGCTTACCCTATTGACAAAGATATGATATGATATATTTTTGCTATTAATGCAATTAGGCAAAGTATCTTATGCATCGGTATTATCAAAATAATGGTTGAGGAACTTTTTTTTTTTTTGTTACTATATTATGATAAATTTGTAACTGTTAATTTTGTCATAGGCTTATATAGGTGCAAAGTATGGTAAGTTGTTAGATCTACTTCTTATTTTAGTTTAATTTATCCTACTTTATTTTATTTGTTTTGGTAGCACAAACAAATGTAAGGGCTAACCCTGGAAACAAGAACAAAAGCTGTTATCAGCAGAGATTTAATATGCAGGTATAGATGTTATGAGTTATAGATTTAATATGCAGGTATGCTGCTGGTACATTTATTAGTCCTTATTAGGGCTGCATGACATTTCATAGATTTGAAAACTTAGAGGGGAGTTAACTTGGTCATTCCTATATATGTTGCAGTAAATATTTGGTATTTATTGTATCATTTCAACATGACAACACTTAATGAGAGAGCTAAAACCTTCTGCCAAGGCAGTATGGTTCCCCCATATATAGACCTCATGTTTCTGGTAAGATTTGTGTGCATAAAAGCTAGCTGCAGTTTGAAAGGAAGCTGCTAGGAGACGTCCTTTCCAATAATGGTGACAAATTCATAAAAGATTCATAGTCTATTCCTTTTCAAATATTAAACTCATGTCAAAGGCCTATATTAAAAGATACATTGATGGAATCATTTAATAACTATATCACAAATACATCAGAAAATACCTAAGTACTTAAAAACATTACTGCCTTGGCAAAGGTAAATAACAAACAGAACTCAGGAGTTTGTTTCTTATTTTGTCTCAGGATGGAGCTAAACTTTTTTTTCAAGCTTACTTTTTGTTTTACTGGTTAATTTTTCCGTAGTAATATTTTTTTTTACTTTACATACATATATGTATTAAAATGCATATATATGTAATGTTATGCAGAGGGGATGTTAAGCATTTGTTCAGAAAATTCATAAAATTATGTAATGTCAGAATGAGTTCTGAATGAACAAAGAAAAGCACTGATACCAAAAAGTGTGCCTCCACCAGCGAACATTATGACTTCTAATGGTGCTTCCATACAATTTCTTGTGAAGTCAAGTTTTCCATTGTATGGTGTTGAGGAGAGGAGGTATATATTGCATTTGCTTGCAAAATTGCCAATGTTTTGCACACAGTTTTTATTTCTTTTCTTTGCAATGTTTAAGATATTAAAATGTGATACAGTGTACTAGTAGATATTATCAAAATATTCTTTTTGGGGTTATGGTTATGAACACTTGTAAGAATTGCAAACAATCATGTTTTGGGCAGAAAATGTACTGTACCATGTAAAAGTTTTATTTAACATGTGGTATGCTTGTGGGAGAATTTTGCAGTGGTTTCTTGCAGTTTACATGTAATACTGGTCATCTTTTCTTTCATCTATTGAATCAGCAGTTTTTTTAGTTTATTCAATGTGATCAGTGGTGTCTCAGGAATACTTCCAAATTATATTTAGAATTCTGAGTTATAAGCAAAACATTTCTGATTATTTAATAAGTGCCTATTACATTATGGATTTTGACTCTGCTACTATTACATTGGTATTACATGACATCATCACTTGGTTCTCTGTCTATATTTTGTACAATTGTTTAGACAATAAGGAAGTGAAAAATATAGGAGATCAATATAAACAATGATAATGAATTTTCCTGGAATTTGGTCGAAGGGTTGAGACGCCAATCCATATTTGGGGGCTCACCAACCAATCAGGGCCTACCGGACACGCTAATATATGCATATGTCTCCATAACATGTTTCGATCTCCATATAGTCACTTAATAACAGTTACATAATTACATAATTACAATAGTCATAACCGTTACACGTCTATTAGCAACAGCTTGACTTGCAAATAGTCAATATCCTCTTCCCCCAGGCTTTTTGATTGCATAAACATACATTGATACTTTTATAATGCGTTATTAAAGTATCAAACTTTTACACCATAATATATATTGCCTCACCATTTTTTTGGCGACATCTCAGGGAGGAGCCTATTAGGGTACAGTATTGTGTGCAGTTTGCAAGAATTCTAGGAATGGTACTGTGAGGCATTTTGTCCACAGGAATGGAATGTCCACGGGCATGTCTCTGACCCACATATATGCCCACATCCCTGGAAACCCTTGGGAAGACCTCTCTTCCCCAGATGGCCCTTCTGTGACCCCTGGGCTCGTTCACTATACACTCAGGGGAGGAGTGCACTGTATCTGTGTAGACTTATTAAACAGGGACCAAGTCTTCCTCAAAATCATGAAATGATGGCAGTGCCATACAAACAATAACCCTAACAGCAACCACCGTCGCCAAGGCAATGTAGCTTTTCATTGCCAATCTTGTTTCAAATTTCCCGCTCCTTTTTCACCAAGATCTCGCGAGATTCCCCGTGATTCAGCTGTCACATGATGCCGTTACGTCATCTCACAAAAGGAAAGACGCCATTTTGGTGGACTTCAACATCTAACCACCGTTCCTGTATTTCCCAAACTTTCAACTTCTGCCCCAAACCAGACATATTTGCCTGAGTCGGAGCCAAAGTTGGGATCTTTGCGAGTTTTGCGGACTGGTTCGTGGTGCTGACATGGCCGCAGGCGGCGCGAGAGGCCACCAGTTTAAGGTGGTACTTTTGGGGGAGGGGTGCGTGGGGAAGACGTCGCTGGTTTTGCGGTACTGCGAAGACAAGTTCAACGATAAACACATCTCAACTTTGCAGGTATGAAACAATATCTTCTAATATGTATATTGTATATTCATATAAAATTAAATATATGATGTAAACTGTTGCATGAAAGGGAACAAGTTGTAGTTGATATAATTAAGATACAACATAGTACTATTTAGTAGATCGATCTATAATTCTGGTCCAAAGATTTTTCTAAAATAGCGAAACATCGTACTTGAATGTTTATAACAGCACATATTTTTCTCGCAATAACAGTACAGATGTACAAGTGGATTAAGATATTTTTATATGAAAACAGAAAATGACTGTCACAAGTCAACTAAACAAACAAATTGTTGTCAAGCCCCAGAAAATGATTAAAGGTTGAATTTTTGGGGAACTTACTCAGTTAAATAATATAGCTGAAGAAAAAATTGTGTGCAGTATGTTGTAGAATAGGTTTGGGTCTTAGTTAGAACCATGAAGAAGCAAAATATATAAAGTATTGACAAAACAAAATCTGACTTAGGGCAGATTTCCTGAAGAATAAAATCATATGAAAGACTAGTAATAATTATCATATGAAAGACTAGTAATATTATGATACTTGTTGTATTTTGTCCATGTATTCTTGTAAAATGTTATAATCATTCCTTACGGGAACAAGGTAATGTTGTGTAGACATTTTGTAAATTTCTCCCTCAATTTTTCCCCATATAATTTCTGATCTCTTTGAACCTCCTTGCTTTGAGCAATCCATGGGTGCTACATCTGCTGTTTACTTTGTGAATAGAGAATGGATGTAGGGAGGACAATAAAATGTATTTCCTCCATTAATATTGTTGATCATCTGCATACTCGTTGTCAAGATGTTTGCTATACAGCTGTATACCGATAATTGAAAAGCATCAAATTTCACTACTAGTACTAGTAGTACAAGATACAGTTTTGCACTATATGTAAGGAGATGAAGGCAAGCAAACTATGCCCCCAGATTTTTAGGAATGTGAGTCTATTAGGAAGTGAACAAGGTCCATTATGACATCATTTAAAGGTGGGTCTCCCACACAAGTAAACAGAAACACCTGGTCATTTGGTCATGTACAGGCTTTACTACAAATGCACTACTTGTAGTATTGAGAAAGAATTATTCTAAAAGACTTAAATAGCATAACGCAATTCGCTATTTTTCTCTCCAGGCAAGTTTTCTCACAAAGAAGCTCAACATAGCTGGGAAGAGAGTAAACTTGGCAATTTGGGTAAGTCCTCTTTCAGTTTCCATTTTTGTTTGAACCTAGGGAAAATAATGTTGTGTTTCCTGTTTCAGTCAAGAAAAAATGAGTTTAGCAGTTTTTCTAGGGTCAGTCGGGAAACAGGAAACACAACATTTTGTTTGTAGGCCTCAGCACAATATATAGTGATGGGTTTTATACATGTCATATACTTGTGTGAAATGATCTTCCAAAAATGGTCTTTCAACACATTGTACAATGTAAGGTCACAGCAAGTAAATTTTATGGATGACATCAGGGCGCGCATTAATTTTCGTCTGATTTTGGAGAGCAAAAACAAGAAATTTTGTTGCCTTCTGACAGTGGTCAACATGCCGAAAATGGGCAAAAATGTCTGTTGTCATGCTGGAAGGTGGATGGCAGATAACTATGAAGAGAGGAGACAAGAAAAGGCTCTGATTTAATCTTTTGTTTCTTACTTTGATGCAGTGATACGTGATGCTGACTGTGTATATGTGGCGTTCCCACTAAATCAAAACCATTTGTACAATGATTGAGTCAAAATTTTTAATTGTAGGAGCCTTGTTTTTTTCGGCCCGCCTTGTTTTTTTTCGCCCCCCCCTCGCATTAGATTTGGAGTCTGCGGAGGATGTCATCCATAAAATTTACTTGCTGTGGCCTAAGTAATGTGTTACATTGTCAGGTATGTGTGATTTTGATATTCATACATGTGTAAGTTGTAACAAAATAATTTGTTTGTGTCTATGATAGGATACAGCAGGCCAGGAGAGGTTCCATGCACTCGGCCCAATCTACTACAGAGATAGTAATGGAGCCATTCTAGTATACGATATTACAGATGAGGACTCTTTCCAAAAGGTACATGTATATGGCATGCTTCATCTTGCGTATATAACTCTATCTATAGAGAGAAAACATGAATTTCAGAGACAATCCACAGTTTTTTTACAAAAACTGAAAATATTTCATGCTTTTGTTTTTTTTTTTAACTTAAGTACATGTACTCATAAGATCCAGTTATGCAAAATTAGACTGTCCTAGCAGGCAGAAAGCTCTATACTCTCAAAGATGCATATTTCAGACACAACCCACAATTTTGGCCAAATTGAGCTTTTTTCATGCTTTCAAGTTAGAATTTCAAGTGCTTCTAGATCTGCTTTCTTTAAGTCAAAAATAGTTCCTTGTGGAAATAATTCACTCATGTTCCATCCTCAAGAATCAATGAGAATCTAATAGAATCCAGCAAACTAATTTAATTAAATCCTGAACCCCATGTCAGATATTTGCATGTACTATTATCAGTGATGATAGCACATTTGTCAAAAATACTCAGTTATTATATATAAGCTGATCTTACATATTTTAGTGCCCCAACTAAAAGTTTGTGTTTGGAATGACCTGCAGTAGAGTGAAAAAGAATGTACATGTGTACTAGTAGATTCGTTTGTTTTAAAGAATCTTATGAAGCATCTAAATCTTTAACATCAATATTTATGTGATCTAGGTGAAAAATTGGGTAAAGGAGCTGCGAAAAATGCTGGGCAGTGAAGTCACTCTTTGTATAGCAGGTAAGAAAGTTCTTGTAATATTATACGCTAAAGAAAATGATCTTTCACATTTTTGGTGGTTGTTATTTAAAACTGGAACAGTGGTATATCTAGACTAAAAAAGCCACTTAAATTTTCTTTAACAACAGTAAAGCTATAAAAGACAAGAACTAAAAAAATACACCATGTTACAGTGGTCGAAATACTTTTTTTCAGTGCTCTGCAATATTGCAGAATAGTCAAAATTTTGTTCTGCAATTTGGAAATACTTTCTGCAAATACACAAGCCTCCATACTACAATCTTGCAGGTTTATAAGCATGAACTCTTGATTGATATGCAAATTAGAGAAGACAACTTTTGGGAAGTCCAAAAAGAAACAAAAGATAGACAAGTCAAGACAAGGTTGATGCAAATTAGTGAAGAAGCTCCTGTTGTTTCAGAACAAGATCTTAAGTGTTGTCTGTCCTTGGGGCCAAGAGCGCCAAATCCCAAGTGCCAATTTTTCCTGCTGCAAAATTGCAGATTGTCTAAATTTTTCTTCTGCAATCTTGAAAATCTATCTGCAGATTGCAGACTGCAGACAGGTATTTCGAACACTGTGTTAGGTCTAGCTTAATTGTGTTTCCTGTTTCAGTTCTGAAAAACTAGGGTCGGTTGAGTTTTTTTTTCTTTCTTTTTTTTATTAGACTTTGGCAGTTTCAACTTATTAGTTATACAGTACAGTTTATCAAAGTAAAACTTGCATGAGGATTGAGGACACATATATTTTCAATGTCAATGATGGAAAACCGGTTGTTGTACAATGTTTCATCACTTGTGTGTCAGATCATGGAGCTACATGTAGAAGCTAGGGTTGATCACTGATCAGCTCAAAAAGTTTGTCACTTGCAGTGGTCCACCCATAAAGGCTATGCCAGGTCGGCAGTTGTTTTTTCTAAGGTCGGTTGGAAAACAGGAAACGGAACATTTTTTTTCTAGGCCTAAAGCTATAGTTCCAAGACAAGACTTCATACACATTGTTACAAGGATAACATACTCTAGCTAGTATATTACAACTAACCATTTTTGTTTCTTTCTGTCTGAAGGAAACAAGATAGATTTAGAGAAGCAGCGAAACGTTCCAGCGGAGGAGGCAGAGGCCTACGCTACGTCGGTGGGAGCCAAACACTTCCACACGTCTGCTAAACTCAACAAAGGAGTAGAAGAGATGTTTCTAGACCTTACTAAGAGTAAGTCTTTCCACAAAAACTTGATATAGTTTGAAGGATCATTACTATATATACACTAAGTACATTTATAATGTTACTTCAAGATTCTTGCAATTGCACTTTACAGGTTTTTATATTTTACTCCATACCAAAGGATGAAATATATTGTTTTCCCTCATGTTTCTTCTGATTAAACATGAGGGAAAACAATATATTTCATCCTATGGTATGGAGTATGATATAAAAAATCTGTTAATATATTGTTTTCCCTCATGTTTCCTCTTTTGTAGCCATTTCATTAAATGGATTCAACTTCTTCATTTTGGGGCTAAATGACTTGAAATTTGGTCCTTTAAGTTTTAGCACCTTTTCCAAGGGCATAATATTAGGATGCCCTGCTAGGGATTCAAACCCAGACCCTTTAAATTCTAAAGCAATTATCCAAAGGTTGGGAATTGTAAGTCTGAACCTAAACCCAGGGCTTACACAAAATACGGAAGGGACTTCTCAGTTAACATTTCTCAATGGAAAATGGGGCATCTTTGCTGCAAAGTTTTGTAATGAGCACTGCACTACCAGGGTTTAGAAGGAAGTTTTGTTGTTTGCGGGGCACATCTGGGCAAAACTGTGGCCACATAATTTATGGAGGCTGATACTTGACGTTGCCCAATGCCAATATTTTCTTATATATTTTTTCACCATTGAAGATTTCAGGTGGTTTAGAACAAAAGGGGAATGTGAAATGATTTTTTTTTTGTATGTAAGTCTGGAACTAGTTCCAGTGAACCAGTACACAGCACTACTTGGTAGTCCAATGGCATATGAATTTGATTGCATTGCTAACAGCCTTGTTTTTTTCGGTACAACAGGAATGTTAGAAAAGGACACCAATTCCAAACCAGACGCCACAGCCAAACCCGGGTCCACACGGAGAAACATTCAGATCACAGAGGACGAACCACAGGAGCAGAAGAGCGGGTGTTGCTGAACCTTCTACTAAACAAGAAAAAAAAACAAGAAAGACAACAAAGGACAGTTGCAACATTTTGTACTGTGACACTCTGATACTCTGTCCAAGGATTCATGTAGGAGTATTTTCTCTCACATTAATTTGGCCTACATGTTGTGTCAGTTATATGTACATGTATCATACTTACTGAGTACATTGTACAATATACATCGCAAACACTGGCCACAGCTCTAGTATTGTATATGTACCTGATCAATATGTATGTACACCAGTACTACTTTTAGGAATTATGAGTAACAGTAAGATGCGTATTAGCTTTAATACAAATTTCATGTGCTGATGAAATTTGTGGAAACGTTTTGCCTTGATATAAGGCATACTTTAGTGTGAATAATTATACTCTTAAAATATGGCTGTGCATTTCATGGTGAATATTGAACTAGAAGTATGCCTCATTGTGTTAGCCAGTATATAGATGGTCATTTCTTGATTGGTTTTGTAATTCTGCATTTATTTTTTACAAATATTAATTTGCACATTGTAAAGAATATATGATAAGTGTAGTGTGTGAATGCATCACTCTTGACTCCAATGCCTGTAAAAAATTATCACACTGTACAAAAAAGATTTGTTAGATCATACATGTAGATGACAATCTGGTACTCTTGAGAAAAAAATTGTCACTTTGCTACTCCAGAAAAAGTTCATGACCTTGGCTGACCTCTATTGCTGCTTTCTGATTGGTTGACTAGTGGTTGTGTATTTTCTGTCACAAAATGTGTCGCTACATAGTTAAGTGTGGTTAAAACTGAGCCATTTTGGACCCTGTTTTTGTGAAATTTGCTATTAGGCCACACCAATTTAATTTCTTTGTTAACGGATTCGCCCACTTCATTTTTTTCTGATTTGCAAATAAAAATAAAAATTCAGAATCAACTGCAAATTGCTCATATTTTGCCCTGAACAGTTGAAAACAGTCCTTTTCATCCTAGTTATTACAGTTATTCCATCTTTCAATGCAATGGTGTCATTCATTGTTTAAATTTTGAACCAGCCTGGTGTGTTGACTTAATGGCTCCTATCGTACCATTTTGGACCATAATAGGATGCCTAGGCCTGTTTTTATTTTTTTTTGCCTGCCCGCTCCATTATTTTTCTAGAAAATCCGTTAACCAAGAAATTAAATTGGTGTGGCCTTAGGTGGTATTTTTGGGAGCAAAATTCTGTGCATATATCATGTTTTCTTTGAATATTTTTCACAATATTGCACAATGATTTCAAGTTTGAATAATTTTTTTAATTTTCCAAGACACCCCCAACATTGTCTAGTATTTAGTTATGGATAAATATTAAGAGATGTTGTGACAGCTACTAGCATTCAAGGATGTAAGTATGTTATCAAAACTCAAAATGATATTTGTGTTATCAACATCTGTTTACCAGCTATATATATAGAAAAGCACACATGGGAAAGTTATACTGTGATAAAGTTATACTGTGATAACATTATACTGTGATAAAGTTATACTGTGATAACGTTATACTGTGATAAAGTTATACTGTGATAACGTTATACTTTGATAACATTATACTGTGATAAAGTTATACTGTGATAACGTTATACTGTGATAATGTTATACTTTTATACTGTGATAACGTTATACTTTGATAACGTTATACTGTGATAAAGTTATACTGTGATAACATTATACTGTGATAAAGTTATACTGTGATAAAGTTATACTGTGATAACTGAAGGTACAGGTAACATCTGTTTTGTCAATATTAACCAGCATGAGTTAATAGTAATTGATGTAAGTCAATATTAACTTGTAGTGCTATCTTGTGACAAGCAAAGAGGTAGCCATGTTGTAGAATTGTTTGTACATAAGAAACAATGTACAAGGGTCATAACTTGTTAATTCTTACTACGTCACTGGCTCTTTAAAGTTAGTAATCACAATATTAAAGTCCCAATGTAAACTAAGTCATTGTGGTAGTCTCCAAGCAGATACTGGAAGAGAAAAATTGCAGCACATGCTAGCTGTGCTGTTTTTGGAGCTCCAGTATACAAAAAAAAACAGTGCAGCCAGAATGTTTGGAAATTTACTTAGGGGTAGGGGAACTAACAGTAACATCATTTAGTGAATTGTTATGTTTTTTTCACATCAGAATGGGGTATGAAATTTACACCTGAAAAATATATGTATGAAGCAAGGTTTGAAATAAAAGGGTAATGCTACCATCAGTTGTTTTCGGAGGTATCATGAAAATTAAAACTAATTATTTTGCCAATTTGCTGCATTTTTTAATATATAGTATTACACTTCTGATGCTAAGGCCGAAAACAACAAAATAAAACAGCCAAACTGGTCTCCAAAATTGCTGTCATATTTGTTGGTGCTTTGATACCAGAACATGTCTGATTATTTGGGTAACATTTTTAGGGTCAAGGTGGTGGTATTTTTTTTTGGGGGGGGAGTTTAAAAAAAAAAAAAAGAGTCCATCCAGTGACTTACCAACCTTTTGTCGCTCAAGACAAACTGTTTTCTTTGCGCGGACCAACTCCCATGGCATATACATGGTTGTAATCTGTATATTTGGCCAATTTCTGCTCTTTTCAGCCGCTTCTCGAAGCCTTTAGAGACTACAGTTTTTCAACCAATGCATTTTGGCCCCCCTGTCCGTAGAATGGCATCGCCCAAAGTAGGCGTGTCGCGCCATGGCTGACAAGTATTCTCGAGTAACTATTTCATTCTGTTAACTGATCTCAAGTGCCATGTCTTCAGCGTTTTGCGTGCGTTTCTTTTAATTCCCCCCTCTGTCTTAGGAATATGTCGTCCCTTTTTCATTGTCACGTAGGGGGAACACGTCCTAAAACGTCTCTGATTTGCTCTTTTTATTTGCTGTCTACCGTGTTTATCATGGGCTGACTGAAAAAAATAACAATTGTACCTATGGTCTTCCGTAAAAACCACGCAACTTTTTTGGACTGGTTTTCCCACCCCCCAATCGGACTGGACTGCTTTTTCCGCCAATCGGACTGGACTCCTTTTTCCACCAACCCCTGACTGAGGTGGTCGGACGGGTTGTCTGTATATGTAGTGTAAAGAGAAGTACTAAACAACATGGAGACCCCGTCCCGGCCCATGTCGTTTTTTATGCTGACTGTTCTCTTCACGTTATCGGTGATTCTGTACTACTATTTCGCAACTTTTGACATCACATCAACAAAGTGAGTACAACTTAACTTCAAATGATATAGAGGTAAATTATTGTACATGTATTTGAATGTACGTTCAGCCTAAGAGTTAAGTTAGTCACTATGTGAATCAATCTGAAAGATTCATAATACCTTTTGTGTAAAGATAACCTAGGCATCAATTTTTTGAAGTTATGCCGAATTCCGTAACATTGCAGATACGGAAATATGTCCATGACTTGGTCATTTAAACCTCAATGTTTTGTAATGCATGTACAGCTGGTCTTTGCATTGTCTTCTGGACTTAATGAAAGAAATATCGATGTTTCTTATTGTCTTACACTGCCATGCTGTAGTGCGAATAACATGTTTTTGACGAGAAGTATGAGTATATCATGGTTGACGTTTTCTGTTTCATCAGTTTCAGTGTAAAGGCAATACAGAGTAGGATCCTACTGAGACAGACACTATCGGACTCCCACATACTCCTAACCAGCACAGCAAGGTAATTTATAGCTTATGTCGTTTAATATAGAATGTGTGCCACTGTCACCCACTTCTGCTTTAAATTGTAGAACATCCTCATAACACAAGTCCCTTAGCTAGCTCATATCCACCTTTCATGAACATATGTCTGATGGCACCCTTCAATGTTGACAATAAATTTTATCACGATCCATCCATTGTATCTCGACTTATCCTGTTAACAAATGAATCAGTTCAGGTCCACACCAGTGATGTATTAATCCACTATAAGGCTCATTATAGAACTTGACCTTCATTATCACTAACCATACCCACCTACTCCTGTAAACTTCTTCAGAAAGGGCATATATGAGTGCTGCTGCAATTGTAACCTATTGATAGTATAACCGTTTGCGTTGAAGCTAGGCTTGTATGTATCTGTATCTGTATAGCCGGTATAACCGCCTTTCAGCGTAACACACCAGCTTCGCAGGCACGCGGCGCGGCGGCAGCTGGCTATATTACACCGATCGACTTGTTCCACCTAACCCTTGAACTTCTAGCTCTAGACATTGTTTAAAGCTATCTATTGACAATGCCCCTACTGTACTTGGTGACAGTGAGTTCCACTCTGCGATAGTTCTAGGAAAGAATGAATTCTTGAACACCTCAATCCTTGGTTGATAACTCTGGTACTTGAATGCGTGGCTATTTCTTGTTTGATACAACAACCTCACATCTTCTAACACTAGAAACTATTGTTACCATGTTAATATTCCTTACATCATATAATAACCACTGTCTGACTGTCTATATAATATCTTTGTCCAGGACCCCTAGAATAACAAAACCATTACAGTCAGCAATTGCAAGGAAGAGGAAGTTGGACATCAATGTGGAAAAGAACCTCACAAGGTGGTTAGAATTTAGTCTTCTGACATTATTATATCATAAATCATAAATAGTATTTGATGTTTTAAAAATAAACATAAAAACAAAAGCTATTTCTCAAAGCATCCGAATATCCAGCAAACATTTTAGAAACAAAAAGATAACGTTATATGTAACATAATGTATTACCTACTAAATAGCTATAAAGTGAGTCAACTTTACATTTTGGTTGAGTAAAATTGAACATTGGATCATATGATAAATTACGTTATAATTTTTCTTAATGACTGAAGATCGGACATTTACATGGATGATAAATTAATTTCCTCAATCCGCATTTTTTCCAGACTTAACGAGTCATTACAGAGACTGAGTACGCCTGAGAGTTTTTCATATTTTTCGGGATATAAAGACCGTAAAAAGTGTAAAAAACGAAAAGCCTGTCCAACGGACACGCCGGTTGGTCACTACCGCACATGCGCACTCGTCGGCAATGGCGGGATTCTTCTCAAAAGCAACTGTGGGAACGAGATCGACAGTCATGATTACGTCATCAGAATGAACATGGCGGCCTTGAAAAATTACGAGCAGGTGAGAAATGACCTTTTGTCAGATTTTTGAATCGAAAAAATAAACCAATGTTATTATTATTATCATTTTGTCATTATTAAGATACTTTCTTCAAATTATAATCCAGTCTTATGAGCATTAGTCCTATTCAAGTCACCAAGGTTTTTTCTGTTTCCTCTTCTTCTTCAAACCAAAAAGGTCAATGACCTAAACCGGACTGTACTGTCACCATGGTAACTAGTGTTGAGTTAAATCATGTTGCAATTTTATATCAGGAGGGATTTAGACTCCTGTCTGACCATATATATGAATGTGTTTGAGTAAGAATTAACAGCAGAGCAGACCATATGCTTTGCAAATGTTACCTTTCTAGTTTAATATTTATTGTAACCACCTTGTTCTCCATTTCTGCTCATTTTCAGGACGTTGGACGAAAAACAAACTTATCTTTCATCAACTGGAAGAGAATAAAGGAGCTAGGAAAAGAAATAGCGTCCAAGAAAAAGAAAAAAGAAGTTCTCCAACATCTAACCCTACTGAACGGCAGTGTTTTCAGCTATGTTAAGTTGAAAACAAAGGACGCTATCTCTGCTTTGGAATCACTGGAAACGATTTTAAAGAATAATAGCTTGAACATTACCGTTACTTACTCACGTAGTAATGTTCCACTTGTGTTTACAAGGTAAGAGTAGCAATGTTATTTTGGGATGATTGACAATGAGAACAATCCAATCTTTTTGGGGCATGCTAAGTCGAACTTTTTTTTAAATGGTACGCTTAGCTGACACTAATCAAAAATTAATATAGATTTAGTATAGATTTAGAATTAATATAATATAGATAGGTTTGTTTGCATTTGTAAAGCTTCTTATTGAAGCCCTTTGGCTAAATTGCGAGTTTACATCAACTTGACCCTCATAATAACCTGACATGTTCTATTCAAAACTACGAGTAACCTATGTTTGAAAAAATTAACTTACTACACAGATATTCAAAGATCTAGTTTTTCCAAAATTGTAAAAAAAAGGTCAGATCAATCAATGATAGATATCAATAATAAAATCAATATATATTTTTTTGATTGAACATTACTTAGCTTTAATTATGTTTGCCGAAGTGAAACATATTGTTTTTGCTACGTTTCCTCTTCTTCTTCCGTTCCAAGCACTAACCTCTGACCTGGTCAATAACCTTACTGGTGTTGGGTAATGTTGCAATTTTTTAGTAGGAGGGATATATACTTCTGTCTGACCATATATATGAATGTAGTTGAGTATGAATAATTGACAGAGCAGACCATATGCAAAGGTAAACATTATGCATTTGCTTTACAAATGTTCCTTACTACTGTAGTTACCACATTTTTTTTATCTCAGGCCACTACGTGAAACGTTTATTCCCCGTTTGAAGTCTCCAACATCCGGGCTCATTGCCTACATCCTGGCATCTAGGTTCTGTGACGTCATCACCATGTACGGCTTCTACCCATTCGCAACGGACATGCGCAATAGGACGCTTTTTTATCACTACTATGACAAGTCATCCGTTGCCAAGAAGCGAAGAAGTCGCCATAACTTCATCATTGAACATAACTTCTTTACCTTACTACATAACAATGGACTCGTAAGGCTGGTCACAGACATTTGTGAATAAAATATGGCCAGATCCTGCCTACCTGCCTAAATACATAGGCCAGAATTAGCCCCTTGTTCCTCTTCATATATAATTTGATTTGAATTGATTTATTGAAATTGCAACAGTGCAATACACGCGGAACAGAGGTAGCTGTTGCTGGTGTTGTGTCCCGCACATAGAAACGAGTACTGGACAGACAATACCCATTTTCACTTGAGTCTAGTGGAGAAAGTCGTGTAAAATGCCTCTCCCAAGGGCACAAGATCGGTGGCATGTGAGGACTCGAACCCGGGACCTCTTGATTCCGAGTCGCGCACACTGTCGTTGCGCCACACGACCCCACCGCCATGCCACACGGTCCTTAGCCTTTTGTTCAGCAAACTTGAGGAACCATCCTGTACTATCTGGCCCGCCCTCTTTTGGGGGGTCTTCATATGGCCAGATCATATAGTGCAAAATGTATGGGTTGGGAAATGCAAATTCACATGTCTACTGTACAGAATCCTTTAAAAATGGGTAAATTTTCTGCAAGCTGCTATATACGGACTATGTCTTTTAATAGCCCTTGTTGTGATATAGATAAGTTTAACCTGATGATAAACGCATGCGCAAATGATGACACATTTCCCCTTGTTCCCACATGACATATGACACCACGACAATAATAACTAACTGCGCCTAAGCAAAATGCGGGTAATCTTCAAATTAAGGATTTCATATCCCGTCAATATTTTGCAAGTGTTGTGTCGGAAAAGATATCGTTTTCAAAATTCTGATGCAACATTGACCAAACATCGATCCAACATTGACACATGGTAGGAGTGCGTGTCCCAGATACTGCGTGTGTACATATTAGCATACTGGTGCACGCATGAACCAACCTTTGCCCGGACTCATAAGTTCATAAGGACAGGGCATCGTGTTAAAACCAGTGATTATACATGCCATACCATTCATAGGTTTCCTGTCACTATTATAACCTTGCCCCTTTCTAAACACAGACACCCCTTTATACATGTAGCCACTATAAATGTTCACATCATGCAAGTTTTACATAGTAGAGATACATGTATGGGTTCTTTCCTGTTTTGCGTGGATGTCCTCTGATTCCCACCCCCGTAAGGTTAATGGTATCGTCCCGTCAGCTTTACCTGGTATTCTGTAATAAAGCCAGCTTTTGTGACGGGTTATTTTTAAATGGCGTCTCCTTCGCGGCAACTGTTGCTCTTCCTCTTTCTCATCATCTTAACGTCGTTGCTGCTGATCTACGGTTTCACCCCTTATGGAACATCTGCAAGGTAGGGGCTTGAAAGCGTCGAAAATACACGATGTACTGTTGTATAAGTATCATGAAATAATGGCTAAGATACATGTATGATCTTTCACCTTAGTGTGAATGTAAGATGGCTCTAATGTAGTATTCTATCGTTAGGAAACATAATGGCGGGTACGTATAGATTGCATGTACCATAAAATATGTTTGCAAGCCTTTTGATTTTTCTACCATAAAGAACAGGGTTACACTGACGTTTTCGCACTGAAAGATCATTATTTGATCACGATTAATGATCAACAAGTGCCAACAGACCTAGACGACATTTTGATCAGTCATTGGGAGTAGTGGAAAACGCATTTGTACATGTGTGTGGCACGGGATCTTGCAGTTTACAAATAATTATTGAATCTTCCTTAAGTTTCAGGATACCATCGCTAGAAGTCCAGACAAGGAACACCACCCCCTTGGAAGACGCAAAAGATCCCACCGCTAGGTAATTCATAGACTTCAACGTCTCAGCTAGATACATTAGAGAATCGCTATATTGTGATATTGAACATTACACTAGGGACTTGTGCAAAAATCATTTGTTGTTTCTTTTGTCATTGGTGTTTTTATACATTTTTATTTATGTTAGGGTTTTGGAAGGAGAGAGTCGACCCCAATCCAGAAAGCTGACGTCAAATTCCAAAGAGACACCCAACCGCATAAGGTAACTGCAATGTCAAATATAGGTAATCTAACTTGATATCGTGAATGGACTCGAGCAAAACGAACGTTGAAAATCTAAATGTTAGTACCTGAGACTTTGCAACTGTATATAGTATTCAGACAAACAGCAACATGTAGTAAATTGGCCATAAACTAACTACTTTTTTTATGTTTACCAATTCCGAAGGAAAACATATTGTTTTTGCTCAGTTTCCTCTTCTCCAAACACAAAAGGTCAATGACCTGAACCAGACAGTCTATCACCATGGTGACTGGTGTCGGCTTAGATCATGTTGCAATTTCATAGTAGGAAGGATTTAGACATCTGTCACCATATATATGAATGCGTTTGAGTAAAAATGAACAGAGAAGACCATGTGCGAAGGTAAATTTATGCATTTGCTTTGCATATGTTACCTTTATAGTTTGTTTTTGTTTTCAGGCTTTTGACCTTCAAGTATTTTAGGACGTTCGAAAACTTTGCATATTTCTCGGAATTTGCCCAAAATCGTTTGAAGTGTCGAAGAGGGAAACGCTGCATGGTAGCAACGCCGGTCCGCCATTACCACACATGCGCACTCGTTGGAAACGGCGGGATTCTCCTGGACAGTAACTGTGGGAACGAGATCGACAGTCATGATTACGTCATCAGGATCAACATGGCGCCCATCAAAGGTTATGAAAAGGTATATATCTGTTTTTTTTTTCAATATTACATCAGTTTTTGCCCAACAGTAGAACAAAAACTTTCTGTTGGTTCAATGATTCCATAATTGTTTTTTTAATGATAATTTGGGATATTTTTCGTTTAACAAAACATATTGTTTTTGCTCTGTTTCTTCTTCTTATCCAAACAAGTTAGGTCAGTGACCTGAACCAGACGTCTGTCACCATGGCAACTGCTGCTGTAGCAGACACCCTGTGGTGTTGGGTTACATTATGTAGCAAGTGTTTGAGGGGCTGGTCACCATATACATGTATTTCAATATGTTTAAGTAGGAATAATATATAACAGCAGTTTGTTAGACTAGACCATGTGATGATGTGAAGGCAAACATTGACATTTGCTTTGCAAATGTTACCGTTCTAATTCTATTTTATTTTACCACAGGACGTTGGAATCAAATCCAACATGACGTTCGTCAACCTACAGAGAACCCTACAGCTGCGGAAAGATCTGGTGTCCAGAAGAAAGAGAAAAGAGATGCTCCAAGACTTAGCTCTCCTGAATGGCAGCGTCATCAGCTACGTCAAGCCAACCACAGCTTCCGTTACAAAAGCCTTAGGGGCTCTGAGCTCAGTGCTGAAGGAAAATGAAATAGACATCACCATTACGTATTCATTACGTAATGTACCAGTAGTGATGACTAGGTAATATACTAAGTAAAAATAATAGAAAAGTCATGATTAAAATCTTATTTCTAAACCTTGTAATTATGTTCACTTTCGCAGAAGGAAAACATATTGTTTTTGCTGTTTCTTCTTCTTCTTCTCCAAACAAATAAGGTCAATGACCTGAACCAGACGTCTGTCACATTGGTAACTAGTGTTGGGTTACATCATGTTGCAATTTTGTAGAAAGAGGGATTTAGACTCCTGTCTGACCATATATATAAATGTGTTTGAGTAAGAATTAACAGAGAAGACCATATACATTATACATTTGCTTTGCAAATGTTACCTTTCTAGTTTAGACTCGGGATTATACGAGAGCTTTAATGTCTTTATCTTTATTCTAGGATGCTCCGCTCTACTCTGATATCCGAAATGAAGTCTCCAACATCCGGGCTCATCGCCTACATCCTGGGAACGACGTTCTGTGACGTCATCACCCTTTACGGCTTCTACCCATTCGCCACGGACATGCGCAATAGGACGCTGTTTTATCATTACTATGATCACATCCCCGTGAATCACAGAAACAGGCACAATTTTAATATTGAATATGATTTTCTGAGGTCTGAAAACCGAACTGCGTCAGTTAGATTGGTTACGGACGTCTGCACATGAAATTAGCACATATACTACATTTTAACAATGCAAGGTTTGTTATTTAGGAAAATGAACATGTATTCAGGCTTGAAAAATAGCGCAGTTGGCAACTTAGTCAACTGTCTTTCATACAATTTGCACAATACTTTGAAAATATATATATTATGAAAAGAATTTCGATTAAAAAAGAACATCGCTAGAGATATCAAAAGATATCATGCGAATGCAAATTCCTAAGTTTCACTGAAATGCTGTCCTTCGCTAAGGTATAAATACGCGTTGCTATTTTCTTTTCTCAATGTTTCTTTAGCCATTGATAAAGTTTCAGTTGACAAATCCGGCTATAGCACAATACTTGGGAAATACATATATTTTGAAAATAATATCGATTGAAAAAATGACATATAGAGGTATCAAAGATATCACGCGAATGCAAATTCTATAAAAAGTTTCAATGCACTGAAATGCTGTCCTTCGCTAAGGTATAAATACGCGTTGCTACATGAAGTTTTAGTTGACAAATCCGGCTATAGGATCGGGCAGGGCGCCTCCCCGCATCCAGCATTCTCGCCTCATATTTCGTGGAAAACGGGAACATCTGGAACTGACTGTGGACAAAGAAATATTAATATTTTAGCACAATTATTATCATTATCCTTATATTACAATTACCAGTTACTGTATAGGAATAATTCGAACATCAAAGTAAGTTTGTCCTTGATAATTTGTTCCCTATGAATGTTAAATAATAATTAATCCGATTTTCACACTTACCGTCTATAGTTTCACAGTTTTTACCAGAAAAGTCCCTGCGACAGTGACAGTAGTAACCGTCCTGGCCGCTCTTAAAGCATGTCGCTCCCCACAGGCATGGTTGACTGGCGCAGCCTACATTTACAGCTGAAAAAAAGATCACATCTATGTTTACCGTAGAAAAAACTTTGGAGAAACAGGCGTAGAATTTATGCAGGATAGAACGTACAGGGAAGCATTGGAACCTTGTGCCATAGATACCAGTTGTACCAATCACCGAGCGGCATCCCATCGTACCACAGCCAGTCCAACAAAGAGCTTGAACGTCTCGACCAATAAGCGAGCGGCATCCCATCGTGCCACAGCCAGTCCAACAAAGAGCTTGAACGTCTCGACCAATCACCGAGCGGCATCCCATCGCGCCGCAGCCAGTCCAACAAAGAGCTTGAACGTCTCGACCAATCACCGAGCGGCATCCCATCGTACCACAGCCAGTCCAACAAAGAGCTTGAATTCGAACGTCTCGACCAATCAGCATCCCATATCGTGCTACACCCTTCCCAACAAAAGGGCTTTTTTAAACGCCTCTATCATTATTCTATATCGAATATGACATTTTCAGGTCTGAAAACCCAACTGCGTTAGATTGATTACAAAAATTTTCACATGACATCAGCACATGATAAAAAAACAAGACAGGATTTGTGATAAAGACAAACATACGTTTATTGAGGTTTGAGACATGGTGCAATTGACACCTGTTGTTATACATACAGTTTGCGCAATACCTTAAAAGGAACACATAGATGACAAAAAAGATATCATGCGAGTGCACATTCCTATCGTTCCACGAAATGCTATGCAATCACGCCACGTAGTACTAGTAAGTTTCTCTGCTGAATGTTTCTTATTAGCTTGATTGAGAGGTTCAAAAACTCATTTTTCCCTAGAACTATTGTTTGTTTATTTGTTTATTGTCATTTTGCACATAAAAAAGTAACAGTATAAAATGAAATTATATACAAATATATGCAAATATATGCTGGAGAGCCCAAGAAACCTGAAGGTTTGTCTAGTGGACTCTCCCAAATCCCAAAAACTATCGCTGTCACCGAATACAGTAGGTGTATCATCACTAGCTAGCTTTAAACAATATTTGGAGTTAAATGATCAAAGGCTAATTGTAACAAGACGTTCAGGGTAATGTAGCCAGCTGCCGCCGCGCCGCGCGCCTGCGAAGCTGGTCTGTTACGCCGAGGGGTAGTTATACTAGCTATACAGATACAGAAGCTGGTGTGTTACCCCGAGGGGTGGTTATACTGGCCATACAGATACAGAAGCTGGTCTGTTACGCCGAGGGGTAGTTATACTAGCTATACAGATACAGAAGCTGGTGTGTTACGCCGAGGGGTAGTTCTACCGGCTATACAGATACAGAAGCTGGTGTGTTACGCCGAAGGGCGGTTATACCGGCTATACAGATACAGAAGCTGGTGTGTTACGCCGAAGGGCGGTTACACCGGCCATACAGATACAGAAGCTGGTGTGTAACGCCGAGGGGTGGTTATACTGGCCATACAGATACAGAAACAGAGTTAACAAAACCGGCTATAGAAACGTGCAGTGGGTCTCCGTGCATCCAGCATTCCCGTCTTGTGTTCCGGTGTAACCGGGGCCATCTAGAGGTAATAAACTGTGAACAAAGACAACATTTGGTTGTATTATCATTATTATTTTTTTCATCCATTTGATACAATAATCAAAATCACAATTTCCTATAAAGAAACGTCAAAATTCACGTAACAAGTTTTGTTCACACTTACTGTCTTGGAATTCACAGTTTTCACCATAATAGTATATGGCAATTGTTTCTGCACAGTCACAGTAGTATTCGCCATGGCCTCTCTCGTAGCACGTTCCTCCATTCTGACAAGGCTGACTGGCGCAGCCAACATTTACAGCTGCGTAAAGAACGTGGCAAGTTTCCATTGTATGGAACTTTAGGCCAAACTGACTTAATTTTATGGATGACATCCTCTGAAGACCCCCAAAAGAGTGCGCGCGGGCGAATTAAAAAAAATCAAGCAAAAACAATTCTACTAAACCACAGGAATACAAAGCTGGTGTTGTGAAGTACGGCCTAAAGAACTTTAGGAGAAGCAAGAATAGTGGCTACGATGGGGTCGAACCTTTGGAAAAACATTTAAATGTGTTCAGCACCAAGGACAGGCATGCTAGCGTGTTTTTCTTACACTTGTGTATTGAAATTCGTCAATATTGTTCTGTGCTTTTAAAGCAGCATCTACTTACTTATGATAACAAATTGTACTTTGAGTAACGAGTATTGTTTATACTGTAGAATAGCATTATGTAAAACGACCACCGTTACCTAATATCATTTATGTACCTGTTTCACAATTTCGGCCGGTCCATCCTAGCCCACACTCGCACGTATAACTGTTATGGCCGTCCGTGCAGCGTCCGCCATTTTGACAAGGGTTGGGCCAACACTCGTTCACAGCTATGTAGAAAAAAAGTAAGGAAACTGTGTTAGTTATATATACATATGTCAAAATAGTAAGGTCGAATAAAAAAGAATTTCAATATGGAGTTATAACGTGTTAATGCGATATGATAAGCTAGATTTCGATTTTAGGGTTTTTGAACACTACGGCATTACTCTAAACAAAGAGCAAGCAAACGCGAGATATGAGTCTGTCTTTATGAAAAAAAACCGTTACGGATAATGTATAATATAAATCTGTAACAGACTAAACAATTAAAAGGAGCACTAAAACGGCATGGGTTTGACGTACATCGTTCGCAGTTCCTCCCCTCCCATCCAGGCTGACACGAACATTCATAGCCGTTGATTTTATCCAAACAGTTGCCACCATTTTGGCACGGATTGCTCCGGCACTCGTTGATGTCTAAAACGACAAAAAAGTTACCACAGTTACAGTTACAAGTTACCAAAAGTTACAGTGCATTTGTCATCCATAAAATCAAATAAGTACGGCCTAAAGAACTTTAGGAGAAGCAAGAATAGCGGTTACGATGGGGTCGAACCTTTGGAAAAACATTTAAATGTGTTTAGCACCAAGGACAGACATGCTGGCGTGTAACAGGGATTCGGTCGGCACCATAGCATCTCACCTGTGCTATGGTTTTTAGTAGGATCTATTTACTGGAGAAAGGTAAATATTACGATGGGGTCTAACTTTAGCTAAAACATTTGAACTCCGTGTTCAGCACCAAGGACAGGCATGTTGGTGTGTAACTGGAAATCGACACCATAGCTCTCTCTCTCTCTCTCTCTCTCTCGCTCGCTCGCTCGCTCGCTCGCTCGCTCTTTATGGTTTTATAAGGTTACATTTAAGGATAAAGGATCTATTTAAAAAGACAGGGTTCTGACGTACATCGGTCACAGTTCCTTTCACTCGTAGCCGTTGGTTTTGTCCAAACTAGTTGTATGGATGGAGACCTTTTTTTTTATTTCAACATTTCATGACTAGACATGGTGACGACACACTTAACTTCAATCAATTTATTTTATACCACAACCAACGCAGAGAAGAAATACAAAACAGGAAAACACTCATTTTCACTTGAGTCAAGTGAGGAAAGTCGTGTAAAGTGCCTTTCTCAAGGGCACAAGATTGGTGATATGTCAGGACTCGAACCCGGGACCTCTTGACTCCGAGTCGAGCGCTATGCAGTTACGCCACTCGACCCTACAACGGAGGAGTGAAGACCTTACCTCAGATACAAGTGGATATGACCTTGATAATCTTGATGAGACATAACAGGACATAACAAACTGGAAAAAAGCCAAGAAAAATGTCGACCTATCTGACAGCTGTCTCCGCTGTATCCCTGTGGACAGTCGCAGGAGTAGCTGTCACCGCTGTCCGTACACTGTCCACCGTGCTGACAAGGACTGCTGGCGCATGCACTGATTGCTGTAAGAAGGGCAAAGTTACAGGAAAAAAGATCTGCAGTTGTTACTGTATTGAAATACTGACAAAATCTACTAAAGTACAACAAATTTTAATGTCTTCCTTATGATACAAAATGGAGTAAGACTTTGTTGGAATGAACGATATAATTACTGCTTTGCGAAGCATTTTTGTGTAAAAAAAGGCTAACCTTTACCAGGCTTCGCAAAGCTGCAAACTGTACTCTTGAGTGGACCAACTCCCCTGACATGTTATCTGTCTATTTTGTCAATTTCTACTCTTTCTAGCTAGCTCCCTACGAAGCCTGGTAGAGGCTAACGTGCATTGTCTATGAAAGATAAACCACGTTGAAAAGTACCTTGTTCACAGTTGCCCCCCTCCCAGCCTCTCGGGCACTCGCAGAAGTAGCCCCGATGCCTGAGTACGAGCCACGATGGGAGGTCATGACCTTCTACACACCTGCCTCCATTCAGACAGGGGGCGCTGCTGCACTCTTCTACCACTGTAGGGGGAAACAGCAAAAATAAAAGAATGTCTACACTTTAGGAATTCCTCCAGTGATTGTAAAAGTTTATTCCCATCCTATACTAGCCACACACTCTTGTATAACGTAACTTAGACTTTCGAAATTGCAGTTAGTGCCAGTAGATGCTATATAATTCTGTCAAAAACTTTGAAGTTCCTGAATGGCACTTGAGGTCTTTAAATTAACCATCATATATCACTACTTACCCTGTTCACAGTGTGTTCATTTTTCTACTTACCCTGTTCACAGTGTGTTCCTTTTCTCCCAGCAGGGCATTCGCACACGTAGCCATCTTGTTGGTTAACACAGACGCCTCCATGTTGACAAGGGTTACTGGCACAGCCGTCCACAACTCCTACAGGTATACAAGAATTCTAACCATTTCCTTTTTAATAAATCATATCAATATTTGCTAATAATGCCTAATGACAATTATCTAATTGTAGGGACGTTTATGACAGGTTTTTAATGTCATTTTTATAAACAGCATAACTAGAGCATCCAGTAGCATGAAATTTTGTTGACCAACAAGAACTAATGGATTCAAACTGTCGATTCTGGAGAAAGAGGCATCTAACATCTAAACAGGACAAATTTAAACTACATGTACTAACGCGTACCCTGTTCCACGGTGTACCTCAGAGAAGGCATCATCAGGCATATCCCACAGTACATTGCGGTTTCTTACCCTGTTCCCAGGTGTGTTAGATGACAATGACCTACCCTGTTCCTCGGTGTGCTCCATGATCCAGCCCCTGAACCTGTGCAGACGGGTGTACACACCATACTTCCCTCTCAGCGCGCAGCCGTCACCCCAGCTCACTACACCCAGGAGATGCCATCTTTTAAAAGAACAAAGAAACTGTCAAATAAACTTTGAGCTATAAAAGTGTTGGTCCATCAGAGGATGACTAGGGACCAACAAAGTAAAACTGTCCACAAAACAAATGACAAACTGGACATAACTACTGAACAACATGCAATTTGACGAAGCAGCCTTAAAGTATGTTGCAAGTAACTACGCAAAAGGAAAGACTACATCTCAAAGGTTATGTCTTATTATAAAGCAAATAACTTTTTTCGCAAAGTAGAGATGATAATCATCGAAGAAACAAATTTAGTAAACCTACTAATATGTTCTCATGATGTCCCTTATAACCGTGCCTAAAACGTAAAACAATATTCAAGAAACTTTTAAAAGATGTACAATAAAGATTCAATTATTTGGTATCATTGGGCTACGGGCTCTACCAGGCTTCGGGAAAAGGCTGGAAGGAGTAGAAATTGGCCAAATAGAGAGATAACATGCCGGGGGAGTTGGTCCGAGGCAAACTGTACTCCCTACCGGACCAACTCCCCTGGCATGCTATCTCTCTATTTGGCCAATTTCTGCGCTTTCCAGACGCCTCCCGAGGCCTGGTAGATGCTAGGGCTACAATACAGTATTTTATTAGTGAACACGTATTCCTGACCTTCCGTTGTCAAAAGCAGCGAACGGCCCTCCGCTGTCTCCCTCGCACGCGTCCCTGCCCCCCTCCCTCCGTCCCGCACAGAACATGTTCTGACTGATGTCCCGTGCGTACTGAGGGTGGGCGTCCCGACACCGTCTCAGGGACACCACGGGTACACTCACCTGTAGTTCAAACTTTATTAGAATCATGTTTAACTCAGTTTTGCATGTCCTGAGTACTGAGGGTGGGCGTCCCGACACCGTCTCAGGGACACCACGGGTACACTCACCTGTAGTTCAAATTTTATTAGAATCATGTTTAACTCAGTTTTGCATGTCCTGAGTACTGAGGGTGGGCGTCCCGACACCGTCTCAGGGACACCACAGGTACACTCACCTGTAGTGCAAACTTTATTAAATTCACGTTTAACCCTACCTAGACCGGGGG